CTTCCCTGCCTGAGGCCTCCCCAACCCAGGCAGGATTATGCCTTCTACCTCCATAAACCACTTCTCCATGTGTTTGCACCTCTTCCAGAGCCACTGTGCTCAATGGGGTATTAACACTTGCTTGTAAAAACAGAAGTGACTGCTGTTTCCCATATAACCTTACTATAACTCTAACCCGGCAGTTTTGGCCAGCAGATGGGAGCATTCCTCTCTTGGAGCTCAACAAATACTTTGTTGTCCTCTCCCCTGACATGAAAAGGGCAAGAAATCCTTTTTTGTTCCATCAATGCTTAAGGAATCCATCGGTTCCCATCTCAAGCAGCTGCGCTGCAGCCACGATACTCCTGTAAAGCATTAAGGACCATGCACAGCAGTGATACAGGAGAGAAACCATTTATTAAACAAATATGAAAGCAACCACACATGCGCATTTAACACATTCATGGCAGCATCTGGCTCAGGAGCGGTTAAACACCGTGCAGCTCAGCTCCATTGCTGTCCAGCACTGCTGCCTCAGCCAGGGCCACCCAGCTGACGCCACTGGGACAGGGTGAGGGAGCTGCCCAGAGCCCCTGCACCCACCGCCCAAAGCCGCCGCTGTAAAGGCCCTGGGGCAGGTCAAGGGGTGTTGCAGTGGGGGGTGGGCAGCCAGCCGAGCAGAGCTCTGCCTCCTTGCAAGTGACCACAACAGGAACATGATGGTGGTACTGGGGAGGGGGACAGCAAGAGCTGCTCCTCAGCAGCTGTCACTCTGTACTTCTTTAAATGGCAGTATTTAAAAAAAAAAAAAAGTATTTTCCCACTTTATTACAGATCTTCATTAATCTCATTATTCATTAAACTCATAATGAATCAAGGATCGCTACTAAAAGGTATGCCACATTTTCCTGTTGCTGCAGGCAGGATGAATTAAAAGCTGTGACAGGTTGCCCATTACCTTGTCATCAATACTCACAACTGGAAGACTGAGCTGCAAGGAAGTCCTGAAAATCTGTCACCTTCTGTTGCAGTGTATCTATGTTGACCTCAGGGCCGTTGATGACCTACACCTCAGTAACTCAGAGCCGTACTTTAATCAAGAGCACTCTGGTCAGCTTATACAGAAAAATGGAATAGCTGAGGGTCATTTAGTTTGATCTAGAAATACAGTTTCTTCTAAACCACCACCCAAACAGCCACAGCAGGCGAGGCAAAGCTGGAGGCATGTTGCTAGCAATATAATGCACCGATACTCTCAGCACTAGCTCGAGCTGCATTTTAACAAACCAGATCTGTACACAAAATGCATATGCTTCACCTATACTGGTTGGAAGCACAGGGAAAAGGAAGGAGGAGTGCAGTATTTCTGTACTGCCTACTGCTGCAGTACAGCGTTTTTAGCAAGACATTTTATTCCTCACACCAAGCTGCTGGGAGAGATGCTGCCAGGCACTTTACTCAGCATAAACTATAATCGGGAAGATTTTGGTCACACACTGAAGGCAAAAGTCATGCTTACTTTTTTTTCCAAAGTTCTAGAGAGTAAGGGAGTCCCCTTCTAGGTTACCAGCTCCCAGGCCATGGGTGGTTTGTTTGTTTGTTGTTTTTTTTTTTTTTTTTTTGGGGGGGGGTGTTGTTGGTTTTTGGTTTGTTGTGTTTGTGTTGTTTTTTTATTACAAGCTCTGCTATTGGCTAATATGAGAATCTGAAGTTCTGAAACATAAACCAAATACAATGCTGAGAATGTTGGGGGGTGGATTTTATTTAACATTACAGTGGTAGAAATATTTAGTGCTGTCTTCTAGAAGCAAGTCTATACGCTAACAGCTTCCATGATACTATATGTAAAAGGTCGACTTTTTTTTTTTTTAAATGAAGTCATGTGCATCTCCATGTTATATCCCCAGCTTATCATCACAATACTTAACTCCCCATGATGACACAGGAGTCAAACACTTGACTAAAAAAGAGAGTTCCTCAGTAAAAGGTATGTCAGGTTTCTGGAGGGAACACATTCAGCAATTGAAAAAAATCCATTCCTCAAAACATGTCTAATCAAGGGTGGGGATCTCAGTCAAGTGTCTTATTAACAAAATGGCACAACCTAGGGTACTAAACAATAAAAAGCAGGTGTTCTCAGTCTATTTTGTGATTTCAAAACATCCTTATTTCCCTGGGACTAAGGGACTCCATTTCCCCACCAGCCTGTTTCTGCCCTCAGAGTATGGCAAACTGGCAAACAGCAGGCACAGCGGCGTGTCTTATTTCTGTCCCCACGTTCACTCTCACCCCTTCCTGCAATTTCCATTCTCTGAGCTACTTTTTTTATTAACACCAAGTGTTCTTTGGGGCAATATACCAAGGGATGCCACAAAGAGGAATCCTGACCTGATCAGCTTCCAAAGGCAACTCAGTCAGGAAAATAACCACCATTCTGTACGCACTAAAAATATGCCATGGTAGTGCATGTGGGAAAGAGAACTAATCAAAGTGAAATGAGGTTCAGTAAGAAAGTAGCTATAATCTAAATGTAAATAAACATCCAAAACTGTGCTGTAGGAACCAAAGCATTCACTATCATGAAAGCCTGCAATAACCAGTTTTTGCTAACAAATCCACTGACTTGCTTGAGCCTTAGAGCTGTGTAAGGGTTGCATCTTACCATGTTCCACGCAAGTGTAAGAGAAGGTATTTCCTACTTACTAGTCATTGTCCTGCTGTGACGCTGTAGATAATTGTCCTGCTGCAAGTTTTATTTGAGGAATTTGATACTTGAGGGCCTTGGCTTTGCAAACTTGTTTGCTTAAACTGCCGCTCCAGACTACTCCCATAATCAGCTCTGCAGTCATAGGACTCAGGTCATCGTTTCTCCCTTTTTTCTGCAGATAACAAAATTTCTACCTCATCTTCTGCAATGACCAGTTCAAATCACTGTTCAGCATGTAAGACTGCTAAAAAAGGCACAACTTACCTTTGGGGTAGCAGAAACGTCAGAAATCTGTCATCAGACAAGACATTTTACCATTTTGTTATGTGGCCTTATTACCATTTCTATTAGTTTTATCACATGCATTTTACTAATCATACTGACATCAAAGTGAGCCATTTAGAAACACAAACAAAGCTAAATTTGGACTGCTACTAATTCATGAAGCCTACAAACCCCACATTGTTTATGGTGAATAATAAGTTTTCCAGAATAACTGCAGAAAGGTAAGTTCTCTCTCTTCCTCAATGCATCCGAAATGTTTGGAAGACATCCACAAGAACAAAAACGTTCCAGGAGACTAACCAGCCAAATCAGGTAAGGAAATGCCTCTAGAAATCTGTTTAGTGTTCTTGAACCAACTTAGAACAGCTTATGTGGTAGTCTACTCTGAAAATATTCCTTTTTAAAGATTTTTTTTAATTAGTCTTCCTCCCAATAAGTTTGCAGGATATTAAGTGGAAGTCAGAGGTGCAAGTTCTATAGGCAAAGGCTATCCAGAACTTCTGAATCTAGATTCTGTAAAGGATGACGTTTGGGGGTGGGGGGGCAGGAGCACGACACAACACAAAAGCTATGGTCTGGGTGTCCTGACATTCACACTTCCCAGCAAGCAACACTATTACTGCCATTTCAGGTTTCAAGGATTTTTATATCTTAATTTTATGTATATTATATACATGCACACACAGAGCAAGTTTTAAACACAAACCATTCTTCTGTGTTTTAAGACTGCTCCTTGTATTTTTTATAGCCAAAACCAGGACACCAATGAAGAATAGACACTTTTCTTCAGATGAAGATTAACATACATAGTTATCACTTGTCCTGTTAGATAATTTTTTAAGGCTACTGCAGTTAGAAAACAATGCATTGAAGAATAAAAGACTGATCAGGTTCAAGTGGGAGGTCAGTCCCCTCAACTGGAAAGCATTTCCCAGAGAATCAGAAAGTTTTTTATTCTAGTACATTCTTTAGTATGACAGAGCCCATATCCAAGCGCTAATTGATACAACAATCTGCAAGATAGGCGATTGCTGCCTAAACAGACATGACAGTAAATAACACAGAAGAAAACGGCCAAGAACAGTTAGTTAGGGCCCTTCATTATATCTCTCCTCCAGCCAGAAAGGACTTGCTCATCTTACACAACCAGTTTTAGCAAAAGATCTGCAGTTCTCTTAAAGATGCAATTAGAGTAAGGAATATGTTCTAACATTTCTTTAAGCAGGTTGTTCCAAAGATTGAATCACTCTGTGAAGACACTGGCTATTTAGAGTTTCACTGACTCTTTCTCAAATATTTATACAAAAGACGCAGATGACAGGAACTGCACTGCTTCCTACAGCCCCTCTCAAATATTTGGTGCTTTAAGGAGCTGTCCATATGAGATGATATTCTCAAAAAAACCACACGGATCTCATACAGGTGAGAAACAGAGAGAGGAAATATGGTGATACAAGTCTCTTCAGAAGGTAGCACTTACCAGAATGGAATCGTTACATCTTGTTTGAAGGAAAACTGAAAGGTACTGCAGTGACACCTCTGAAAACTACACTAGGAAAGTTAATGTAAACCTGAGGGACATGCATGTTTTGCATCTATTTCCAGATAGGTTTTAACGAAATTGTTAAGAAATAAATGCCGTAAATGTCTCAGTGTTAGACCCTGGCAATATCTTTAAAAACCCCACCTGTTTCTATCCTCATTTCTTGGATTATGACTTAATTATGCATTACAAACTGTATTGGTGCCACTGGTTCTTTTGCCCTAAGGAAAGAGTCAGCCATATAACAGAACCGGTTAAAAAACTACATCTTTCTTTTGTAGATACCATTACTAATCTCTTGACCAGGTCTTCCAATTCACTATGAGGACAGTAAAGACAGTGTTGCATGGGATGAAGAGCCATTTATGATTTCCTCCCCTAACCTTCAAAGCATGAGAGTTTTCACTTACCATAGAACAAAGTAACCATCATCCAATGGACGCAACAGAACTGGTTTCTAAGGATCAACATGGGATGAGCAGTATAATGTTAGCATCCAACACAGGAATAATAATAAATTTATTACAATAGAAACAAACAGATAATGCATTAGTTCATGTACAAAATACTGATAGCATTCTGCTGCCTCAGTCAGTGCTTACTAAGTACCCACATTTAAAAACATCCTAAAACTGATGACACCACACAGATTTACGAAGGTCATAGCAATTTCTTGACACTACTGTAAGAGAGCCCAGCTACTCTTTAAGGTTTGCTGCACAATACAGGGAGATGGAGCAGGATATAACGGGAACATCTGAAGTTTGAAATTCTTCTGCACCAGGAAATTAAGAGTGAGCAACTTATAAGCATGGGGAAAATAAAACAATCGCACTATGCACAAAATTAGAGTTACTCGTGGCACAGGTTTTCGTTAGAAGTGCCCAACAATAAGGCAGCTGATGACTGACTTGAGTGCCCATCATAGCTCAAGGCACAAAATATTAGTTGTCAGTTCTACTCCTGAGCTATGTTGGTTTTTTTGTTTTCTTTTTAAACAAACTGATGTAGCATAGAAGCATTTTCACTGAACTGCATTAACTCCCAAAGGACACCAGACGCCTCAGAGAGACTCTTAGTAAAAGAAGAAACATAGCTACAAGCCTGCTGGACTGATTTATGTTACTAGGGCTTTATCCTGTTGGGTTTCCCCACACACACCTTTATGTACACGTTTACTGAGTTTATAGAGGAAGTCAGTGTGCACATTAATATCTCTTCTTTCTCATCAACTCACTCTTCTGGAGTGAGAAAACATGTGGTCCATGCTAACCAAAAACCGTTTTTACAGTATAAAGTAGTGTTTAAAATAAGCTATAAAATACTTTTGCTCTATTTGGTTCCCCACCCCCAAGTATAATTATCCAGATTTATCTCACATATTTGAGGGATGCCTTAAAAAGCTGTAATTTATCCCATCTCTGGGCAAAGTAAATAGCCAAAAAGATTCCTGCAACCACTGAGAAGTTTGCAAGCACATTCTAGTTGCAGCTAATTTATTCCTGGGGTAATATCAGGTCACAAAACATACAGTGTGAAAGGAATACTGGCACTGAGCAAACTTTGAAGCAAATTAGGACATTCTCTCCCTACTCCCTCTTATACCAGACTCCCTGATGGAAGTCCACAAATAATTTCTTCTCTAAGAAGACAATAAAAACTCATCCTAATACAGTCTCAAGAATCATATATACACATTTTGTATATTTGAAAATGCTGGCAGAAGTCCACAGAGGCAGAAGATAAAAAGCATGAAAGCTAAGTCTAACATCAGGTTCTCTACTGAACCTGACACCTAGAAACAAAACAACATAAGGCTTCTTTCTTCTGAAGTACCCTCCCCAAAATGCCTGTGATTTTCCAGTGGCATGTGGAAGAGGCCAGCTGTTGAGACCTTCTTTCTTGCTTCACAATTTAGAAAGTGAGATGTTACGCAGCAGAGAGGCAGGCCTGACGAATACTTTGTGCCCAGGTGTTTAAGAGTGCTGTGACTGAATGCTTGTCTGGAAGTTGCAATAGTTTTGAAGTCATGTACCGATACACTGACTGCAAAAAGGGATTGGCTGCTGGAAAAAAGATAACAGATAAATGGAGTTATAATAAAAATAAAATAAATAATAATTTAAAAAAATTAAAAAAGAGTACTGTTAGGTGTTCACATTTCCCCACTATTACCACATACACAGACCCAACAAATGTCATGCTAGCTTCCTCATACCATACTGTCTAGGGTTTTTTATCCACAGAGGGCTCTGATCTGGATAGTCCGCTGGAACGCTGAGCTGTAGTGGTGGGACATTTGGAAGATTCTTGTCATCTAGAATGCAAACACACTTCCCATCAGAACAAAGCATTCCTTGCTGGACGGAGGGGTTTTTGTGCACAATTCAGCTTGGTTTCTAGCCTCTGAACCCCAAGGAGGAACCAGGCTGTACATCTCCATTTTTATTGGAAGGCAATCTCATTGCTCACTTTAACAACACTCTTAAATTCTTGGAAGAAAAGCCTGGCAAAATACCGCCATCTCTTACACATTTCTGCACCTTGCCAATCTCACCATTTCATCAGTTGAACTTCACTAAGTTAGACACCTCATTTTTGAAAATTAAGTGCCTTATGTACTAATATTCAGGACAAAAACAGTTCAGATTTCTCAAACTAAGGGGAGGAGGAAAGAATCTATTTTCCCCACTGGAACCCAAGAGCAAAACAAGTTAATACACTATAACACTTTATGATTATTCAGCTGAGATGAAAAAAAAATGCAATCTGAATTTCTTTCTTGAACATACACCATTGTCAGTGATCATTAGTACAAATTGAAGTAGACCCTCCCAAAAATTAACTCAATATTTCTCTAGCTCTGTCCTAGTTGTTGGAGGCTGAACAATTCTCACATATCAGTATAGGTCAAATCAGGAATCAAGATTGTTGCTAGCAACAAGTAATTTTCTAGACACTAAATGAGATTACCAGTTGCAACTTCAGTGCAAAGGATCAATCAGTGTGAATGAAATCTCCAGGTGTACCCTGAAGCAGGCTGTGTAGAATGTCATGATTAAGCAGTGCTATGAGTAAGTACAGACTTCGTGCAGAAGTCACAGGTTGGCAAGATTCAAGACTGTTAGCAAAACACTCTTCAAATTTCTACAGTCAAGCTCAGCACTTCTTTCTGAATTCAGCCTTTAGTTTCTTCTTGCTTACCTAGCTTGCATATGAGATGAACTGTGCCATTATTACTGCAGTGGGAAGGGTCCAGGTTCACCAGGAATTTAGGATTTAATCTTGCAACTTCCCCTTGTAAGACATTCGGTATGGTCTGTCTTTCATCCTCTTCATATTTCCGTTTTCGAGGGGAAGCAACTGGGGCCCTATGTAAAATACAGTCCACAAAAGGACTAGGTGAAAATGTTATGCCAACACCAAGTTTGTCAAATATTTTACAGGTGTAAAAAGGAAAGATATAACTCACACCCATCCATAAGCCCATCTGTTCTTTTAATAGTTTCTACAAACAAGTATTTTTTCCTTAGATAATGAACATTTAAGACAGACAGCAGGTCAGTGATACATACGTGATTGGTGGTCCGTGAATTGCAGTCATAGCTGGCATAAATGTACGGTAAAGGGAATGGTTGAAGACTGGTGAACGAATGTTGGCCAAAACAGCATCCAAAAGTGGCTGACACAAGTACTGCTGTTTGGTGGGGGGCACTGGGGGAGGTGGTGGAGTAGGCTAAAACACAAGAGAAGCCCCTTTTGTTCTAAACATCACCAAAAAAGAAATCTCTACTATTGATTCTGCAAAATTTTATAGCAGTAAACTTCCAATGCATGAAATGCAAAGTATTCTCGAAACCGTATGCAGTAATATTAAGGTGGGGTGGGGGGAAGCCGTCCACAGCTTTCATTTAGGAAGCCTGTCCCGAAATCAGCTGCAGAAGTTCACAGAAAGAATTACTCAAGTCTTTGCACAAAGCACAAGAATTTGAAAGTTCAGTTAAAAGACACATACAGGTGACTTACATGAAGTAAGTGTTTGCCCATTTTTTCCCTGTTTTCTTATTTTGTCCAACCTTACTTGAAGTCTTAACAGCATGAGCAACAAGAAACGCAAAAAATTATCTTGCCACATCATAAGACCTTTTGGAATTAATTGCTTACTCTTGCTAGCGCAAAGCATTACATACCACAGCCATATCATTTTTCAGCTTCTCCAGAGCAATTTCGCATTTCTGCAGTGTCTTCAGAGGGCACCTGCAGAAAAGGAGAGATTTCATCACCACAGAATGGTCACCTTGGCTGAAGTGTTTCTGCTATCTGAGCCCCACAGACAGCTTCAATGCCAACATGGCTGGATGCTAAACAACAAACTTCTGGAAGAGCTGGGGAACCTGATGTCCGGCCAAAAGGAAAAAGATTTACCGTTTTGAAGGGTCAGTCAGGATATCTAAGAGACTCTTCATTTTACTCAGGTCTTTCTTCCTATCTGAAATAATATCAGACACACAAACAGTGACTACAAGAATAGATTCCATACTTGCAGACAGAAATACAGTATACTGTTAAAATTGAAAACATGAGCCAACACTGAAGAAAGTAGTGAGGATCAAAGATCTTTCAACTAATCATAAGCATATCCATTGTGTAAGCTCTATGTGTCTCAAAAACATCAGAAGTAAAGGAAAACTGATAGGAATTTAAGGATGAGGATTTCACCCACTCTTCACGTAAAATCTTTACAGTCATAGGCAAGAAAGAGCAACTAACTTTCACTGTCATTTTTAATCCCTGGAATAGAAACCATCACAAAAGGTAAGGTACTGCTTCTTTCATCAGAAGAGATAGCTGACAGAAAGAACTGCGTGACTAAATATAGGGAACCTCACCTTCATTTTTATCTATTTTATTGATCATCCTCCGGAGTGGCTCAATGTATTTTGATAGCTGTTTGAGTTTCTCCAGATACTGTTGCTCCTCTGATTGGCTAGAACTGGCTGGACTCATGACAGAATTTGGATTTCCTGGCAAGAAGACAAGACTGCATGTCACAAGGATGATAAAAGATACTGCAGAACAGCATTCTCACATTTCAGAATCTAGACCCAAAATGTGGCACTCTCAAAGTGTAGCTCACATCAAATATCCAAATCCACAACTGGATGCCTTCCACAGTTTAAGTGCTTGTCCAACCCTCTAATCTTTGTGCAGAAGTAACGTGTTCTGTGGACAGAACAGCAATTCCCATTTAATACAATTTTTTTTCGGAAAAGGTCCAAAGTTTCATATACCCATTTTCTAGGCCCTCATTTTGCCTTCAACTGGTGCATTAAACACTAAATCAACACACTGAATTTGCTGCAGTTTTCCTTAAGTCGGTGCTTTCCAAACTGCAGAGCACACAACATTGGTATGAGAAGGAGCCAGTATGTTACTTCCATTCACAGTATCAGAAACTGCTTATTACATCTGGGAGAGAGAAGAGCACAAGTGTCAGAGTACACCTAGGAAGGTGTTTTGGAGCAAAGCAGCCTGCCACCTGTGATTAAGTGGTTACATCCTTTAAAATTGCATGCTGTTGCTAAGGGTTCCTTCCTGCATGGAACAAAAAGGAATCATTCATTATGCCTCTATAAAACTTGCTCCATTAAGTATCATTCTTTTTTTAAAAGATTGGGGAAGTTAGAAAAATCCATTACATAGTTCAGTGATGAGAAGAGAGGTTTCAGCTGATTTTGATTTGAGATATCCATGATATTGTGTTATGTGGTGCATGTGACGTTCACTTACTTGCAAAGCTGGCTGCTTTGTAGACCTCTTTGAAGTTTTCATTGTGCCAAACAATAACAGGTTTCCTGGGAACTATTACAGTTACCAAAACATACACCAACTCAGGGTGTGCAGTACAGTTCTCAGATCATTTACCTGGAGTGTTTAAAGGGCCTGGGGATGGGACACTGAAGTTCTGAGGTGTTCGTGCAGCTGCTGGACTCTGGGATGGTTGTGGAGATGGACTGGGGAGAAAGCTGCTGGGTGATGGAGCTGGGCCAGAACTGAAAAATAAGCATAAAATCAAACCTGCCAGAATCTGACAAGGAAGCATGATAAGCCTGTAAGCAGATATGTTTTTAGTAAGCATCGCTATGGCACTCTTTAGCTCTGCCAATAGACTCGGTGAGGATTTCGTACACAGCTTCTTTATTTAAAATGGGGGTTTTCAGAGTGTATTCAGCACAATCCCACCTGTGCTCTCACTGAAGTTCATGTTAAAATTCATTCACTTCAGTGGAAACAGAGTAAGATATACTGAATGCTTCTGAAAACCTCACCCTTACAACACTGACAAAGGTCCTCAAAAGTTGCAGTCTAGCTCACCTGACATTTGAATTTGGCTGAGAAGTTGGCTGGCCTGGCTGAGGAGATGGCTGCGGCTGTGGTGGCGGAGGCATTGATTGGGGTGTTTGAGCTTGTTGGACAGGAGATGGGGATGACATCATGGTAATATTGTTCTGGCTGACCTGAAATGTGGAAAAAGATAAGATCAATAACAACAAAAGGGAGTACAGGATGGGAACCTAACTAAAAGGCTTTACCTATGGAGAGAAGCGTATACTCAGTCCTACAAGAAACGAAAGTGTTAGTTTCCTGTTCTCCCCTATAACGACAGTCCCACCTGTATCGCTCTTGAGGCTCTCAGAGCAGTAGTTCATATCAACTTTACTAGAAATAACCATTAAAGCTGCACATAATTTGAATAACTGTAAAATAATTGTTTTTCATTTCCCAAACCATCATGTCGCAATTAAACCATCAGAAGCACCATCTGAAAAACCTGTACGTTATTAGAACTAGAGTAAAGAAGAGCAGGAAGAAAAGACAGTTCCAATTTGAGAATTAACAGCCATAAAAAACCCTCCTTATTTTGACATTTTAATTACAGTCTTCAAAGGTCTGTCAGCCTTGACTGTAGCTTCCCAGCTGGTTTTCTTTAGTAGGAAGGAAGAAAAAAATTAAGCAAGCCAAACCACCAACATCTTGTTTAAATATTCAGCTTTGAAAAGCTGGGCAGAGATAGAAACACTCCAAACTGAAAGAGTGGGTGGAAAAAGAAAAAAAAAAAAGAAAAAAAAAAGTAGCTTGCTGACTTTTGGAGAATGATGAGGTGTGCCTGAAGGACAAAAAGATGAATAAGAGCATTTCTAGAACAGCACCAAACTCTGGGTAACAACTAAGTTTATTCTGTACACTGTAAAGTGCCAGAGCCAGATGATGCTCAAATTAGAGCAACTTCTCACATTTGTTCTAATGGACGTTTTTCCCCTTGATCACTTAAAACCAAACAAAAAAACCTGTATCATAGCCAGGAGCATGGTATAGTAATGCAGATATTAAGTGATCATGTTTGTTAAGGCACACACAGAGTTCTTATGACCAGCTATAAGTACATACAAAGATAAATTGAATTAGCCCGCAGAGGCCACATATTGTGACTCAGTAACCCATGCGTCCATTCTGTAAGGCACTGATTAGCGCCTTTATGATTTAACAACTCTGTTTCCCTCAGTCTAAACTGTTTTTAAGCAAAGGTCCCAGTAAATCCACAAGTTCCATACACTTCATAGGGACTGCAATTTGGTGTTGTCCTTCACTCACTCATTAAACATCCATCTCAATAATCCAACTAGTTCCAGAGGACATGATATTTAGCACATTAAAAAGTAAGTATTGCATGGTCTACTTTTGCATGTATGCACTGAATATGACAGGAAATGCTTTGCTTGGAATATCAGCTATGCAAGAGGGCACACTCCGCTAAAAAAAAAAAAAAAATAAAATGGGCCCAAACAATCCCCAGCTAGGTGCAGATGTAAAGCTACTGAACTTGAAGATGCTAGTTTATCATCCATTAAAGCATAGTTTAAAAATCAAATGCAGCCTGACATACTGAGGATTAAAAAAAAGAATCATAGTAACTCCATTACCTTTGCAACCTCTCCTACGAAGATAATTTCAGCCTCACTTGTTCTAGATGTTATGTTTTAAATCAGCTATTATATCTTCCTTTTCTCCACAATCAACACATACTGAGACTGTGCTTACTGTTTTTCATAGGAGGTGGATTCTTTAACAGCATGTGTCTCCTCAACAGCTGGAAAAGCATTTCTGAGATTGAAAAGCACAGTCTGCCTCCCACAGAAACCAAGCACCTCACCACTGTTTGGAAGGAAGCTAGGATGAACACTGCAAAAAGCACTCCCTGATTTTTTTTACAATTCTATTTAACATTCTATTAAACAGCAAGTGATTTAGAACTTACCCATACGGATGCTGCACCCATTTTTCACCAAGTCAAACTAAGACCACTTTTGAGTGGTTCATCACTTCCTGAAAATCAGGCCCCTTTTAAGTGTCTCAAGTTGGTTACATAAAATTACTTCTGAAAACTTAAATCCTTGTGTTTTGGGAAGGAAGGAGAAAGATTTCGTTAGGTTTTTTTGCCAGATTTAAGCTTCTGTATCTACTTCAACACCAAAGCCCCTTCACATTAATTTACAAATGTTGCAGAAAAGCAAAGAAAAGAACATGCAGCATCTACTGTGCACATAAGCATAGAATGAATTAGTTCTGATATCTTTTTTTGCACTACCCGTTCTCATTTAAGTACACGCATAGGCAAACAGCTTTCCTTCTTGCAACAGGTTTGCTCTCTGCCAGCTTCATTCCAGAATACCAAAGGCTAATGTCTAATATTAAACAAAACTGTGGCATTTTCAAAAACATGCACTCAGAAGTATGCAATTCTGAACTTACTGCCTTACTTTTCTTTGAAAGCAGTTAATTTGCTACATAAGAATTTCAGATGTCTTTCTACAGAACAGATCTAAAGACACTTTCAGCTTTAGATTTCTACATTGTTTGCAGGATATGGATTAAGTTTATAACAATTTAATGAAATTTCAACTTCTAGGGAATGCTCTTTCTAACTGACTCCCACCAAAAAGAACACTAAAAAACAAAACCCCAAAAATACCCAATAAACCCAAAAGACAAAAAAACCACCCCTCCCTCTGGAGCTTTAACTCCATTAAACTCATTTAGCTTCTTATTTAACTCCACAGTTAAGCCATGGTTACTGACCATTTGAATACCCTTCATCTTCAACATATATAAGGAAATGCAACTACATATTTTTTCACTGCAGGATGAGATTTTCTGCCTCTACAAGCATATTCATGGACAGTTATTAAAGCCCACTGAATGTGAATTTAGTCTGCAACTCTACAGTGACCTGATCGTGACACCAAGCCCTGATTTTCTGAAGTCCTGCCCAAAAGATATTTAGGCTTGCATGACAGAAAATTGCACTTAATATCCACTAAATCAAAGCTATTCTTAGTGTTTAGAGCACACCATGCTGGAAGATAAACTTAGCTATGAGGCCTACCTCCAGTTTGCTGAGTCTCAGGCAAGGAACAGCACTCAGTAGATAAGGCTAGTGAGAGTTTTTCAGAAGCTCCCGATAGCAAGAGTGTACAATATGCAGAAGCTAACGGCAAGGAAAAGGAGACTGCAACAAGGAAGTGATGGGTAATAATGAGGAACAGTAGAAACACTTTTAGTCTAAAGGAAAACTCTAGAAAGCATTTACACTACTGTACTTACGGTTTCAATGTTAAGCCAGTAAGCACAGCCTTGCCCACCATGTTGCAAACTGCATTTAAAGTTCACCATTATGCTGCTTTGTGTGACAAAATGGAAACTGCAGAGCTTCAAATAAGTTCAGGTACAGGTTTCCATGTTCCCAGTCACGCCAGTGTGCCTTGCTTTATTTTAGTATTAACTTAGTTTTACTTTTTTCCTATATTTTCAGTTTGCTGAAGATTTCTGTGCCAACAATAAATTGGAAGTTCATACTATTACAGACTGCAATAAATTTGTAGACAGAACCTGAAGGTTTGACACTAGAAATACAGGAGAATGACTGGTATTAGCACATTAGTTATCTAATTGCTAAAGCAAAAGCTAAGTATTAGATTAGTTTAATCTTTTAAAATTTCAACATCAGCAGGTTTCTTGAGTCAATCCAAATATGGTATATGAAACTTCTTTTAGCTGTTCAGAAAGTGCCACTAATATTGATTGTAGTTCATGTTTGGTAACTATTCAGGCACAAACAAACTTCAGCTAAGGAAAAAAAAAGTCAGTTCTAATTCTCTGGCAATTCCAAAGACCAGGAGATTGTGGAATACAATGCCATATCAGTAAGTATATTCTTTTGATTGAAAAGACTGTAATAGCAAAAAAAACCCCCAACCAAACAAAAAACCCACTGCAGAATCAACTAACTAAGCCTTGTGATAAAAAAAGGGCAGACTGACATTTGTGTCATATGGGATAAAAATAGCCACACAGTATTGCTATCACATCTGGTCCTTTTGTTGAAAGATATTCTTCAGTGCAATATGAAGATTCTTTTCTAAAGAGAGAAGACACTCCGAACCACCTATCACCAAGTTTAAAAAACTTCTGATACTGTAGTCAAGAAGATGGCATTAATTACTCTTAAATGAGTAATTAATAACCAGATATATGCTACAGCCCTTTAATCCTATTGTGAACAGCTGCAAGGGCTCTGATGACAAGGAAGTTATAACATATCCAACAGACAATATTATTTAAGCATTTTACAAAATTAAGAGGCATAAATGACAACATTTCTAATTTCTAATCCACCTAGAACCTGAACAAAGTGTTTTGGCAGACAGCACTAGAGATTCATGCTGATCCAGAGCTGTCAAGTACATGGCATGTCAGACTGGCTTTAAAAACGTGCTTCCCACCACCATTAAACCTCGACTCACTCACTCATCCTACCACCTGCTTAAGAGCCATTTTCACTCCAATCATTGTTCATAAATAAATTTCCTTTTTTCTTCTGCCTTCTCTAGTTGTTCAGTCTCTACATAATTTTCGCAATCCTTGGCATGCTACTGAGAGCACTCCTTGATGACCAATTCAATTGGTGTCAGAAATCAAAGTTCCTCAATAAGCACAGACATGACAGCACTAAAAGATCAGCCTATGGCACTGAATGCATAAACTAGAGGTCTTTTGTTATGACTCAAATATTAAATATAAGCCAATCTAATACTTAAATATCTATCAGAAGGCCTCATCATCAAACCAAATATTGTGAATACTTCATATGGGAGATGATTGTCTCAGTCCGTATAGACTGTGCTACAGCAAATAAAGCTCAAAGTAAATTCTCCTTCGACTCAACAGCTATGTCAGGGTTTTATTTCAGTTAACATATAAACAATGACCTGGATTGAAATGGCCATCCATCTTAAATCAGAAACAACAACAGATGTGTTTGCCTAGGTCTGCAGAATCTTTCTGGTCACTGTATCTACCTTAACAAATTCCTGAGAAGAAAAGGCTGTGCCTACTAAACTTGATGCAGCAGCACTAGGAAGCAGAGTTTCAGACATTTCCACAGCCCCATGACAAGTTTGCAAAGGAAACAAAACCACAAAGAGCAAAGAAAACTTCATTAACCCTATGAACAAAATGCAGCGGCATTAAGAACTAAAACTGCACCTGGTATTAAATTTGAAAATTAGTATCTAGAAGAACAAGATGTAAGGTTCATGAATATCAGATAGAAAAATGTAGTTGAACACTATTCCACCATCATAATATGATTTGTATTTGAACCAACACCAATCACATAGGGCTCAGCAAACTTCTGCAGAGCAGAGCCTCGTTTTGTGACTTACTGGTAAGAACTCAGTTCTATTTCATTCTAATTCTCCCCATTCCCGCTCCCCCAAAATAACACATTTTGCTTGCAAAACATGACTGTGAGGTCTTTAGCAGATCCAGACCTGCACCAGGCAGATGCAGTACTCTGACCTCATGCATCTTCTAGCAACAGCTGGATAGGTGCTGCCAGCCTACCTACACAGGTTCTTCTCTGATGCAGGTACAAGTAGAATCCTTCTGGCAGTTCCTCCTACACAACCGTGAAAGAAAATAGCTCCATTTTTCTTGGTCCCTGATACCGTGCCAAGGAGCTACTCAAACTGAAATGAGCCAAGTTTACTATTAGTGAAACAAGCATCTGTACAGAGCATGAACACAAGATAAGTAAGGTCCCAGACACAACTCAGCCAGTATGCTGCAGTACCAACTTGCAACACACTCATAAATGCACGCTTGTAGAGTACGGACAAAGACTAAACAGAAACCACAAAGTTCTCATTTGAGACTTGAATCAATTATGAACATGGAAACGTTTTAAATGTTACAATAAAGATCTATGCCACTTTAAAAATGCTTTATTTGATATACCAAGCTCTCACAAAACCTATTATTTAAAATGAAAAAGGATCCATAAAAAACCTAAACAGCCCAATACCCTGAGTAACACCAGCAAGTTAGTCGTTTGATGAAAAAGTGAACCTCCCCTTGCTTGAAAGCAAGTGCTATACAATCACGTATTGAATGCTTTGCACAATTCCTGACACAATGTGCTTTGACTCAGTAAATACCTGTGGCATTTGCTGTCCGCCCAAAGGAATGGAGCTTGGCGGTGTAGCAGACACAGCGGTGGTAGGCGGGAACCGTGGTCTTATTTGCATCCCACCTCGGGCCATAGGTGCGGTGATCATCTTTGAGGACAGAGGGACAACAGACAAAAGTAATCGCAAAACAAGAAATGCAGTGCACTGGCAGGATGAGAAGCACATGCAACCTCCAGGAATTAGGGGGAGGGGGAGCATGAAGGGAAGGTTAGTGAGCTTTTCTCTAAAGGTTAACCTAGCATGCTAGTTTATAAATCAAACTTTTTACATCCTTCCTATGCATTTTTAGAAAGCATCTAATGAATTCTAGGTATCCTGAGAGAGCTGATATGTAGATTCAGATTAATGGGTCAAGGGTTGACCATGCTATCATTTGCATGAAGGCTTTTCCTAAGTTTTGCCTGACATCTTGAATTTCTAGAATTGTTGGAAATAAGTACTCTAAGATTTTTGTCAAGGATGCTCCATATAAGAAGCTATATAATGCCATAGGTTTCTGATGTGCTTTACCCCACTGTGGATTCAAAGGATTTAGCAGTATTTGCATATGCCACTCTTAATTATAAAAGATTTTGACAGACAGTTCAACAGCATCTGTCAGTAGGAATGCTTCACAGTGAGCAAAATTTCAGACCAACCAAACCTATGACAGTATAACAGTGCCAAAGACAACAAAAAGGACTTCTGGGTTTGAAAAAGCTATTTCCTTCCTTTTACAACCCACAGAATAAGTTAAATATATCCTTGTAATTTCCATCATTTTGACAAATACCCATTCCTACTAAGCTGTGTTAAAATATTCTGTTATGAGTCCACAATCTGCCTCAAGCTTATTCATGCACTATTTGATTCTCCAGATGTATAGACTGAGCACACCCTAAAAGTGCAATCATTTAGGACAAATGATGAAGGTTAGCATTAGAATTTGTACTTTAAAATAGTCTTAGGACTATGCTACTCTGCAGTGTTTAGAAGTGCCTTTCAGAACCATCAGCCTGCATGAGCCACACATATTTAATCAGATATATCTGTACAGCCCTCTGTAAGTTAAAATTTGATATTACACCATATATGCTGAGAATTTACAGCAAATACAGCATATTTTTGAGGTAGCATTCGGGTAACTTCGGCAGATTCACTTATCAGTAAAAGAGCTTCTGTTTGGTACTTCAACAATCTACAGTAAAGTTCTCTGGGCTACTTTTTTTTCCAGCATACATACTACCAAGGAACCTACATAGGCCCTAACTAACCTACAAGTTAATGAAGTCTCCTTTCAGTAAATGGTTTGGGGCATTCTTGCTTAGTGTTCTATGTAAATGGACTGAAGCAGCCAGCAACATGTCTCTAGAGAGTCAGAGAATGCATGTGCTTACAATTGTTAAAAATAAATAAAATTAAATACAACATAGCAAGACTGAAAAAGGAAAGCAATAACTGATAAAGAAAATAGTGTCAAATTCAGCACAGCTGTTAGTTCACAACATCAGAGCAATGCAGTCCCTCTCCATCCAGGCAAAGAGGGATGGTCAGAGACAGGATTTCAAAGGGGAAACAAATGAGAGCGCTTCAGACATCACACACACATGCACATGTACACACACAGCATGCAACAGCCACCACAAGCAAACACAACCCAGCACTGGCACAAAGCACAGGTGGATGCTACAAAGTGCAGTGAAGAGCTACAGTATCAACATGAGAGCTGGTGAAGCAACACAACCCTAACAAAAAAACAAAAAAAAAAAAAAAAAAGGGAAATTGCTAGGAAAAAACAAACAAACAAACAAACATATCCTTCCAGGCACAATCACCCCATCTTAGACCCTCGTGAATGCACATGGATCTCTGGAGTGTGTGAAATCCCAGGGATGTTATGGTGACCCGCATGTCCCATCTTGGTCCTGTTTCTCATGCCACACCACCAAAGTGTGAAGATTTAGATTACTTCCTCCAAGGTCAAGGAAATCAGAAGCATATTCACAGTTTAAGTGTCTGGCAAACCACTGAATATCAGCATGACAAACTCCAATTCAAAGGCTTTCAGCTGTTTGTTGTATTGTGGTTGGTCAAACATTTATGCACATGCACACAATTTTGGTTTTGTGTTTTTTGTATTTTTTGTTTTTTGAAATGTGTGCTTTGGAAAGAAGTGTATATATAAAATGACATCAATTCCACTCTCTTAACAGAAGTAATCTATTTTTCCCATTCTCCAGCTGATTTACGTTTGTGAAACCTGTGACCCTTTGACAAAGGAGTCAGGAAAGGGGGGTTCCAAAGATTGCATCTGTTTTATGCAAAGCAATATATCCATGAAGGAGTTGTTCTTGTCAGTCTAAAAACAGAAGACAACCAGAAGTGTTCAATTACTTTTGAAAAAGTTTTAAACTGAAGGCAAATCCTCCTCCACAAGTGAAATTGATTTATCTCAGTTTGCAGAACTGAGAATTTTACCCCATAAAAACAGAGAGCAAGCAGAGGAAGAGAGTCTCCCTCCACTGTAAGATACAAACCCCATTAGTTAATAAAAATTAAGTGGAATGTAACAATTAGAATCCTGAACCTGTAATTTTCTTTCATCTAAAATCCAAAGATGCAGAATTCCATAAATATGCAGCTTCTGGTGAGTACATGTAAGTACTGTGCCACTGTCACTCCATTAAAGGCAGCTCTGATTTTCAAAGAGCAACGGCCAATCTGCATTCTGAGCACCTGGAGGAGTTGCACCAGAACAGTGATTTAACTTTTATTAATACTTAACTCCAGTTGATTACAGATTTTCTCTTGGTGCTGCAAGCACTTGTGTAGCACTCTGTGGTCACTAGGACTCTCCTTCATTTATTTATCAGCTTCACCTGTGAGTTATACACTCACAAGGACTAGACACCCAAGCAGGGTAACATTGACCTGCATGGTGTCTTTGCGACTTCAGAGAAGAACTTCAAAATTCACATGGATCCATGTTTAAACCTGGGATTGCTTTTACTTTTATGTAGGAAGGATGAATAGAAACTTTACAGAAAAGGAAAAACGCAGCCATATCAACCAAAATTCCCAGTCTGAAAGCCCCTAGAGGCTAAGTTTAAATGTAACAAGCGAAGATTAGGATAGGGTTTGTTTATAACAAAAGCTTCCCTGAACCAAATGAAGAAATTAAGGCAGATTTAATAAAAATGCTGGTGCTAGTGAAAAAATGTTCTAAATACAAAGCAAAATCTACTCTTAAAAGAAACTTCTCATAAATTAAAGAAAATCCATATACGCTCTCAACACCGAAGCTGCATTGTAACATTGTACACAGCCACAATCTTAAAACTAAATATTATATACAGAAAATATTTACACAAGTACAAGAAACCCGTTTAATTATTGGACTTCACAGCATTAAGTGAATTTTAGTAGACTCATATTGCAATGGCATGAACAGAAATGGAGTAAAGCCTGTATGTGAATTTTCTAAACTCCATCCGTGATAGATAATGAGCAATCCCTGAGTTTACTACATGTCTGAATAAAGCTGCAATACAAAACCCGCTGTGAACCATCTTATCACCCTAAACTTTTCAAATGCACCGTGCATTTAAGCCACTGGCATATAAATTCACTAAATGGGGCAAGAATTAAGTTGACTGTACATAAGCACAATCCATCTGCTTAGGAGTTGAAAAGAGCACCATTAAGTTAGTAAAAAGAAAAAAAGTCAGAGTCTCCTTCCAGTCAGCCTAAGTCCCTGCAGCTTCCACCTGGAAATTATTTAAGAAACAAACAGAAGTTTTAATTCACATTTCAACTGTAGAAAGAATTCTGCATTGCTGCCAGTACTGTACCAACTGTACTTACCACTGCTCAGCTTTTACATCCTGTGTTACGTTGACACAAGCAAAAGGACCAATACAGAAACAGAACTTAGCCACCAACAAGGATGTGGGCCACATGAGAGTTATGATGGTACAAGACACTATTCCTGATACAAGTCTGGGAGATGTATGTTGAAGAACCAATAGTTATCACAGTCCATGTAAAAAGCTTCCAAATGTCTTATTGAATCTATAATATTACTTGTGCCCTGAAGGGAAAATGGTGCATGCAGACATGGAACGTCTGGGTATATGAAAAGAACTCTGCCGTTAATCCTAGTCAACCCCATTTCATCTGTCTGCCTCAGTCTCTTCATCTACAAAGTGGTGATAATTGTACTTACCCATATCTGTAAAATGCCTCAATATGAAACACTACAGAGGTAAGCCACGAAAGACTATTTCATATTCTGGTGGAAAATGGGATGAGAGGTTCAGCTCAAGCCATTCCCAATTTTTTTCCCCATGTCTCCTTCATACCAGACACACATCAAGGAACAATCACTGGGGCTACAAGTGTATTGCGGGATAAGAAAACTGTGTTAGACAATAAGCTTTCACCCAGCACTTTTTTTTTTTAAAATGTAACTCTGCACTTGTGACACATGCCATTTTTTCTTCACAATTCACATCCAGAACAAGAGCAATCTATAGCTACTGCCCATTTCACTCAGAAAAAGAATGAAAGATGAAAGGAATGGAGTGCAGAGAGATTTCATCGTCTATATTATTTTTTATGGTTGATACATGGAGATGGAAGGTAAATCACATGTGAGTAAAGATAGCAGGCAAAGATTCACAGTACAGAAATCAGTTTACACAACAAAGCAGTCACCTAAGAAAGTTTAACGAAAGAAGAGGTGATACACTCCAGGTACCAACAGTCAGACTTGTAGCGTGACCACAGTAGGCCATCTTATTGATGTGAATTCCTGCATCAGTACAGACAACAATCTTACCTACCCAGGACAGAGAGCATGCACAGAGAGGTTGTCAACGAAATCCTGCCTCTGACTCCAGGCAAAGGAGAAACAGCATAAAAGCCCATATCCCGTATAAAGGGATGACCAATGTCAGACCCCTCATCAGAAAGCCACCAGAAACCCATCTCCATGCTCATCTCTAGCATGCACTTGCTACAGGCCTATAACTAGTGATACTGGCTCCTGGGCCCTTACCTGCCCTGAAGCTCCCATCTGAGCAGCTTGGGCCTGAGCTGCTTGCACTGCTGCCGCTGCCTGCTGCTGCTGGACCAGCTGAGCTCTTACCTTCGGTATGAAAAGAAAGAATGAAGTAAACATACATATCTGATTAGGATATGACACTTCTGTTTCAGCTATATTGACTATACTCATAAAAAAGGGTGTGGAGACAAGATCAGCCTCACATACATACTCTTCCTAGAGTTTTTGAGCTTTCTTCATGAAAACAAGTTCCCATGTTTCTAATGTTTAGAACAGCCTTCCCATAGACTGTGCACCCAAGATTCAATTTCTTCTTGCAACTTCTTCCCTGTACTATCAGGTCTTCCTATAACAATACTAGATACTTCAGCTTTCTGGCAAACATAGTTAACCACACACGTGTTGATTTCCCTCAAGCACACTGTGTTAAGCACCTACCAATGGCCAGCATTTCAAATGTTTATACACTCATTACGACTGTCAGTGTGATGTACATCTAACTACTCCTGGCTTAGCTGGTAGGAGCACAAAGTGGATGTATCAACTCGTCCATGTGGGGTCAATAATTTCTGAAGTGTGGCTGACACTCCACTACTCCCCAGCAAGGCCCAAAGAAAAGCAGGTCTTGGGATTACGTCTGAGCTCAACAGCACATATGAAGCCCAGAAAAAACTGACTGTAATGCAACAGTTCAAAAAGCTGCAACATTAAGAGGATGACCCAGCAAGAAGTTCAACAGAGTAAAACTACTGTCTTGTACACATTCTCTTCAAGGCAGGAACTACCAGTATCTTAAACTTTGACCAAAACCTCTAAACATGGCAGCAGAAGCAAAGCCAGCATGCTAGAGAGCCAACACTGGCTCCAGTGACATGCACTAGGCACTTCAAAGCACTTGCTCATGTTCTAGAACAGCAAACATCATGGAGGTGATTCTTCTTTAACCAGAGTTTGTTTCTTTTTCTTTTTTCTTTCACTTGTCCATTCAAGAGTAAGACAAGAAATTATTTTTAAATATTAGCTGCATAAATGGTTTTCACAGATTTCCAGAAGTCCTACTCTTAGACACAAAACTGTTCTCTACTGGCAGGCCCAGACATAAACCTTTAAACTCTCCATATTCATAACATGCTAACTACAGATCTCTTAAAAAGCCATGTTTTTTCCGACTTCATTATTAGCAAAAGTCAAAGAATTTTTTTTGTTTCTCTAGAGGATCATAATGAACCAACAATCAGCTGGTCACTAGCCCTTACCTGCATTGCTTTTAATTGCTGTGGTGTAAGAGTAACAGGCATAACCTGACTAGGAATTTGTCCTGAGATTGCCTGTGGCTGAGATACCATGGGCTGGGGTTGAGGCTGGGATTGTGGTGGAAGCTGAGACTGTTGTGCCTGAGCAACCTGTTGTTGTTGTTGCTGTTGCTGCTGCTGTTGCTGCTGTTGTTGCTGCTGCATCTGTTGCATCTGCTGTTGCATTACTTGTTGAGGTGGCTGCTGCTGTATCTGTTGTTGTGGTATTTGTTGCTGCTGTTGCTGCTGCTGTTGCTGCTGCTGTTGTGCCTGCATAGCCTGTGCTGCCTGCAGCTGCTGCATTTGGGCAATTCGCTGTAGTTGCTGCTGCTGCTGCTGCTGCTGCATCTGAAAAGCAGGAAAAGCCAGGATGCTAAAGCTTCCAGCAATGCGATAGCAGCCTTATTTTTATAGCATAAACCAAGAGCAAACAGAATCCTAATACATTAGTCTGAGGTTTTAAGTCCAAAGCGAAAGCCCAACCTTTCTATGCACTCGCTCTTCATATGTCTCAACTCTACATAGTGCACATCCCGTGGTTTCAATATTACAAGCTTGTCTCACTACTAAAACAGTTTTCAGAAGCAAAGATGAAGTCCATCAGCTTCTCCTGTACAAATGGGCTCAGAAGCACTTCTTCAAATGTAACCAGCCTGCATCAGCACCACTATTTACCAGGAACTGCACAAGAGCACGACAGCTGAAGTTTCCTCTTCTGCTTTTGTGCCTAAGGATGATATATATATATATATATTAAAATATATATATATATAAATATATATATATATAATGTGCTCGGCACACTTTTTAAAGTGGCAATGTGTAATTCACACAGTGACAAAACAGCCACTATTTCTAGAGTAACACAAGTGCTTTTGGTTCTTTCCCACATCCCTGTTCTTGTCAGAATGAAAGACTATCCTGATGTTTATAAAGAGAAAGAGACAAAGGTTTTAATTCTCTATTGCTATGACAGAAGAAAGCAACCAAACGACTGTTAAGCCCTTCCTCTGGGATGTAATCTATTGTTGCCAATTAACTTGCAAGTCTAAACTGAAGTCCTACCCCAAAATGGAAACACGTTAATAACAGGCAAAGCTGATATTCAGTACTTCCATGCAAGCCAAGCCTCACTTGACAAGTAACTGAACACAGATCACCGCAATTGCCACTGTAATTGTTTGTCATCACCTGCTGTTGGTTTTGCTGCTGCTGCATCTGCAGTTTCAGCATGTGCTGTTGCTGCTGCTGGACGGCTTGCAACTGCTGTTGTTGCTGCTGCTGCTGCTGGGCTGCTGCAGCTGCTGCTGCCTGCTGCTGCTGGACCTGAAACTGTTGTTGCATGGCTGACTGCTGGGCCTGGAATTGCTGCTGCTGCAAAGCCACCTGCTGCTGCTGGAATTGCTGCTGCTGCTGCTGTTGCTGCTGAGCTATCTGCTGAAGCTGAAGTTGGGCTAAAAAGAAGGTAGACTGTACTTAAAACATGAGACCCAAACAGTGCGAGAGACAGTTACCCAGTATAACTCACAATAATTGAAGATAATCCCTGAAGTACATTAATGTTCTTTGTTAGCAGCATATGCTTTTGCATCCTCAAATGGATGAGGCACAGTAACAGCATAATTAGTGACACTTCCTTCTACCAACTTCTAATTCTCACTGCCTATATTGAGTCAGCAACCTAGGTAAAGAATGTAAAAATGTGCAGGAGGAAATATGCACAGAGGTCACCAGCAGGAAGCATTGTACCCATAGAAAACATAGGTGAGCTCTACAAAAACAAAGTTCTGAAGTTGACATCTTGTAGGACGAAAGAAACATGGCTCATACAACAGCTAGACTGTTCCTCGCTATATTAAGACAGACATTTATCCCATTAGGTAGGAGTATTTGAAATCAATTCTTCCTGCAGTTCACTTGGCTGATTTAGCCAGAAGTACGAAATCTCTTCAGCACCCTTTCCTTGTTGAAAAGTTATGTACTGAAAGGCTGATCTAACAATTACAGTGGCTGAAGCAAACTGAATACTTACTCTGCTGAGTAGCTGTAGAGACACCAGGCATACCATGAGGGGCCATTCCTGAGGTTCCAGGAGGCTGCTGCTGCCCTGGGAGACTCATCTGTTGTCCCATTGGGCCAAGGCCACTCATCCCACTCATCGGTGCGCCCTGAGCTCGGGAAGCCATGCCCATTCCAGGTGCCCCTGCTGGGGGACCCCCAGTTAGATTCTGCAGGGCATTCATCGGATCTACAAAGAAAATAGTTACCAATATGCAGCCAGACATGCAACTGCCTCCCCAAAATCCTCTGTTCTCCATGATCCACCCTCTGATCTGTCAGCTTCAGACCATGACTAGATCCAATACCCTGAGAATCTAACATTCACTGCTCTGCCTGCGAGACCACAGGAGGCTTCTGGCACATCTTTGCCTCTCTGTAAATAGAGTGAAGATTATTTAAGCACTTCAGATTTGCAAAGTTCCAAATAGATTCTAAATACATCAGAGAAAAGGAACTTATTAGCCACCTCTGAATTTATATGCAAGTCAAAACAAATTGCCAACAAAACTCCATGAGGATATCCAGCTTGTAACCTCAAAAATCAAGAGAGTCCCACTGTGGATCCAATTAACCTCTTCCTCCTGAGGTCAACAAGGAGAAGCAGTGCTCAGACCAGAAGAAGTGCTTTGCTATACAGTTCCCCCCATAACATCACGTTTATTATGCTGTGGATAAATTCAGTGCCTTTCAAGACAACTGTCATAATCTGAATCCTGGGCACACAGAAAAGTGAAGTCGAAGAGGGAATGGCAATTCAAGAGGGCAAAACACAACACTGGGTGCAGAAGCAACATTAATCAGGTACAGAACGCAACACCCCCTCTTTCTTAAGAATACTTATAAAATAATTTCCAGCTGTCTAGGCTGGATGTTAATCAATCACAGACACTGCGTATTTAGCCTACAGGGGGATAAAAATAGAGGATCATACTCTGTCCCTAACATACACTGCTGTAAGAATTAGCACAGAGGCAGAAGACATCATCAGATCTAACCTCAGTCAAATGGCAGAGTGCGTACGCCCCACAAACACAACGCTTGCCTCTGATGCAACACACTGAGGAACCCAGAGCCGGTAACAGGGAGAAACCTGGACTGCTCAGCAGGAGATTATTTTCAATCACTCTTGTTATTTTCTTTGTACGAAAGTACAAACAGGGAAACAAACAAGTCTCCTGTGTTACATCCAAAACACTGTCCAAGCCTGTCACCCTCATCACTGAACACCAAGACTATCATGCTACCTTTCCTTTCCAGCAGCATTTAATATTCCAGCTAGGGAATGCACAGCCTTCTTATTCTTAGTATACCATAGCCCTGATTTCTAAGCTGTTCTATTTAGAAAGGGGGGGGGGCAGAATTTAAAAAAAAAAAAAAGAGTTCTTACCACTGACTGAGGCTTGAGATTTCTTATTGTCTGCAAAGGAAGAACAATTAAGTGCCTTTGTTAATCTTGTCACACATAAATTTTGCCCTTCAGATATACTCTCTACAAAAATATATATTCACATAATAATTTAAAAAATAAAAAAAAAAATCACTGTCTACTGTAGCTCTAACAAAATACATTAACCTAAGCCAATTTAGTAACCAGAATGGTCTAGGCTGGATGTTAATCAATCACAGACACTGCGTATTTAGCCTACAGGGGGATAAAAATAGAGGATCATACTCTGTCCCTAACATACACTGCTGTAAGAATTAGCACAGAGGCAGAAGACATCATCAGATCTAACCTCAGTCAAATGGCAGAGTGCGTACGCCCCACAAACACAACGCTTGCCTCTGATGCAACACACTGAGGAACCCAGAGCCGGTAACAGGGAGAAACCTGGACTGCTCAGCAGGAGATTATTTTCAATCACTCTTGTTATTTTCTTTGTACAAAAGTACAAACAGGGAAACAAACAAGTCTCCTGTGTTACATCCAAAACACTGTCCAAGCCTGTCACCCTCATCACTGAACACCAAGACTATCATGCTACCTTTCCTTTCCAGCAGCATTTAATATTCCAGCTAGGGAATGCACAGCCTTCTTATTCTTAGTATACCATAGCCCTGATTTCTAAGCTGTTCTATTTAGAAAGGGGGGGGGGCAGAATTTAAAAAAAAAAAAAGAGTTCTTACCACTGACTGAGGCTTGAGATTTCTTATTGTCTGCAAAGGAAGAACAATTAAGTGCCTTTGTTAATCTTGTCACACATAAATTTTGCCCTTCAGATATACTCTCTACAAAAATATATATTCACATAATAATTTAAAAAATAAAAAAAAAAATCACTGTCTACTGTAGCTCTAACAAAATACATTAACCTAAGCCAATTTAGTAACCAGAATGCTACATAAACAATGGAAAAAAGCAAAAATACAGGAAAAAATTAGGAAGGTAGAAAAAGTAGTAAGTTTAAATAATTTCTCAAAGACTTTTCAATTATAGATGGATGTGTAAAAGAAACAGTATTTAGAAATTAAGCATGTATATTACAGGAAAATTTTTAAAGCAACTTGTGAAGAGTCACATGCAGAACCACACATACAAACCCTAAAATTTACTCTGGTTGGGAGAATGGGATGAGCAACCTCATTACTGAGAAAAGCAAACAAACAAAACCAATTACTTACGAATATCTCGAAAATGGATAATAAGTCTGGCCACAAGAGAAAGATATTCTTCCTAAAGGTGAAAAATGAGGATTTTAGCATAGGCAATAAAAGCATTGCAGCCATGACTTTCTGGTTGTTCAGTATTCTTCCTCAACATAACAGATTTTACTTTACAATGTCTATGGGCTTTTCAAAGCAGTTCACTTGCAAGGAACAGTCTGTTCATTAACTAAGTGAGAATGTTTTTACTAATAGGTCATTGTGGTTGATGGTACAAGAAGGCCAAGAAACCACAAAATTCACTGGAAAGAACCTCTGTGACAGTCACACTAACAAGATCACAATATGTGAACATAATTATAAACCAATACATCCTTTTTTCACTTCTTATCCACTCTAATTCCTTTTTCTTGAGGATTGAACCTGCTTACTTGGTACACTGACTTACTTTAGTCCTTGAACTATGTCATAGTCATACTACCAGAACTTTTTTTACGCTAAGTTAGTATTACAAATACAAGTAAGTTAACAACTTTAAAGACTAACATATGATAGAAGTGTCAGAAGTGAAAAGACAAATATTCTTTGCAGCATTTTATTAGTGTGCTTCATAGTGTGCAAGAGAAACTGCACAGGGCTGAGATAGCCTTCCTGCTCATGAAACTACCAACTCACCAGTGAGGATGCCATCAGCAGGCATAAATTTGTGCCATCAGCATTATAAAATTTTCACCAAGACAAGTTCTATCTCAAATATGGCTTGTTTGGAGACAGCAACACTTCCCAATTTCTCATAAGGCAGCTCCAGTAAAGAAGTTTACATTTTTGTAGAGTCTAGAATTGTACATGATAACCAGACTTTCACAGAGGACACAGGACTTCCCTTGGTCTTACTCTTGACGCAGCCTTTTCATTGATATCTTAGTCTCTCCTGACCACCAAACTGGTCATACGGAATGGTGCTACACTGTAGATAAAGGAAATTCTATGCAATTCACTAAACACAAGTCTTCAGACAAGAATTAAGTATGGTCCCCATATATGCATTAAATGCTGCAGCATCAGCAAAGCTGTCTTGGACTGAGGTCTAGTTTGATGCATATATTGGATGCAAAACACCTCACTTCCCTTCAGGGTAAAAGAAGCACATATAAATCAAAAATTTTGTGTAACTATGTACTGTAAGCAGAGACAGTTAACTAAGTGCATTTGGTTTGCTATTTCTATGGGTTGTTCCAAACTACTTTTGACACCCCAGTAACTTCTGGAAACAAACAGAGATGCTTTACCCTTGTTTTGGCCTTCATAAACACATGACTCTCCATATCTTTGCTGGATTTATTATGGGCAACACCAGCCTTCCTCATAGCTTCATCACTGAAAAAAGAGGAAAAACACAAGGCTGGGTATTAATTGAGGACATCGGAAAATACTTTCTGTAGTTAGGAAGGTCTGTAAAACAGCTTTTCACCCCTCTCTCATTTATCAATTTAAAAAACAAACAAAAAACCCCAAAAAACCAACCACCACATACATTACTTAAAATCGCCACCCTTTAAAATTTTTTCAAATAATGGAGGAAAAAAGCCAACTAATTTCTAAAAGGCAACACAAATATTCTTTGCAGAAATTCAAGAACAACTGCTAAGCAAGTCATTATTTTACCACCTGATGTATTATTTTGACAAAATACCAGGACCTGTTCATTTGAGGAAAGCTGAATGACAGGATTAATGTAATCCATGTTTGGTGAACAATGGGCTTGAGCCTGCCTAGTGTCAGGCATTTCCAAAAGAATCGTCTAAACATAAGGTGGAAGAACTAAAAATAAAAAAAAGATAGCCTAAAGGCATAGAGGTTTGACCAACGAGTGAGAATAATGAGTAGGAGCACTGATCAGGGGCAGAGAAGAGCAGAGGTGCAGGGATGTGCAGGGCAGGGAGCGGACAATCACCATGAAAGCAGCAGGTGAAGCAATAAGATGAAAAGAAGGCCCTGTTGATAGGAAGTTGAGGGGAAGAAAAAGAACAGGTTTGGTAAGAAAGAGCTTTCAATTCCCTTACTGTTCTTTCCCATTTACCAGCCAGAATCACGGGGACTCGCTGTCCTTTCTCCATCACACCTCTAGTAAATTGGATCTAGATCTGGATGGGATATTGAACATGCAAGATGAAAAGGAAAAAAAAACCCAAATACCCATAGAAAAACACACATTGCTAAGGACACAGGTGGAAAAGAAGGGGCATTCTCAGTACATCAAAAAGTAGCAAGCAATTCAACTATGAAACATGCAACAAGATAAAGATGTCCTAAAATGAGGAGTTCAGTCAGGTGAACAGCCCTATTCAAACCCTCCGGGCATTCTCATTCTTGGAAACATTTCACTTCACTGCAAAACCTGTTCTGTTTTAAAGCAGCCTAGCAGCTACAGTCTAAATTCCACAAACAATTTAGCAGGAAATACTTTCACCTTGTAATTAACATCTCGGCAACTTATTTCTCAGTAACTACTGCTGCATGAGCAACTACCCTACACTAAATGCATGTTAGGGTAGTGATCCCTGAAAGTTTCAGCCAGTCTGAAGGGGGACTACTGTTTTCTTCCCCCTGAACTTCTACCACCTCCCATGCAGCAGGAACGATGCTTGCATGAGCAGTAAACTGTTTCAGCTTCCTGAATTAACTCAGTAACACAGTCACAGAAGTGAGAAGAGCTGACGCTATAGCCTCAAAATGCAGGAGCTTGGGCTGCCACAACTCACACCCTTGCTTTGCAAACTAGTAGCCTAGTAGCATACATCCAACCTGTTGCAGGCTGTAAAGTAGAAGACAGTACATAGCTACCTGCTGTAAGGCTCTCTCATGGTAACTTGTTCGCATGGTCTGGGCAGACACTAAAAAAAATGCTGTTTATAATGAAGGTTATTTAAAATGAAGCGGAATCCGAACATAATGCAGAATAACTATTCCTCCATGTGCAAACAAGCCTTGAAGTGAGCTGCTCATAAAAGAGCTCTGCTGCAGAGGAAGAAGCTATATCCAATTCTTTACTGACACTTCCCTTTTTTAATGCTTTCCCTTTCAGAAAGGCTGCCTCTAAATCCACACTACTCTCTGAATCCTCCTTAACTTCTTGGTCCCATGGTACAATGACAATGCCTCTCATTTTGAGAGCACCAAGAACTGAGTGGGCAGAAAGACCAGAAAAAGATTATGCAGAGGCAAGAAAAGGAAGTAACATGTAGGTAGTACTAAGTGGCTGTGATACAGACAGTGATCCATGTGGTATCAGGAACTTGAAAAAAAAATCCACAGCAAAGAAGTTATTACTTTTATATGTATCTACCATTTCCTTTTGATGTTATAGAACATGAAAGACATTTTATAATGACTACATCTGCATTACCAATAATGTCACTGCAAGCGCTCCATGTCATATCTGTTAGCATTCCAATAAGTGTTTAAACTAGGAGGAAGAGAAAAACACACAACCTGTTCTTTGTGCACATATTCATCTGCAATCAACATGAAAATATTTACGTTAAAAGACTGGGAAAGTCACTAAAAAAAAAAAAGCCATAGCTTTAGCATCGAGTTAAGGATACCACATAACATATCATATCCTTGCAGAGCACCAAACTCAACAAAACTCTGAAAATTAGATGGTACCAGCCAATTCAGCCTTCATCTGCCTCATAAGCACTTACTAAAAATATCATAAGATGCACACTAAAACTTTGCCTTTTTCATTTCATGCAGAACACTCAAAGTTGCGGTTTCACAAGATGCTGTTTCAACACCAACACCAGCTTCAGGAATTCCCCCTCCACTCCCAAGAAGCTTATTTCCAGCCCAACAACATGCAACCTCTCACTCAGGCCAGCTGGTGTAGTTGAAAAATCTTGCAGAACACGTTCTCCTTCAAAGCTATACCAGCTCCCCTATCCAGTTCACACCATGACTGCATGAATCAGTTGTTCCAATGAAACAAAAGGGCAATGAGTTCCAGGGCCAAAACCACATTAAGCCATGTAACATCACCAAATGCTGCCTCATGAAATAGACTATTTGATCACTACGACACTCAGTTCAACCAACCTTTCCTGCTTAAAACAACTTCCTGCTTAAAACAACAAGGGGGGGGGGGGGAAGCATGCTGTTAAGCCATTAGCCACATCTATACACATTACAAGGTTTAAAAACCTCCAAGTAAACACCAACAAATACATTAAAAACTTTAATCACTTCATCTTGTGCACATGATGCTGTCCCACACAACATTTCTGTTAGATACAGATCAGACACAACAAATTTCATCAATAGCAGCCCTCACTGCAGGAATACCCACATAACACCATAGACCAGCAGAAGACCCAAAACAGGAATCACTCATATTACTTTATTCACATTTACTGGACAGGTCACGTAAAGGCCTGAAGGGCCTCGGTCCCCAGAACACCACCTTCAGCTACAGAGGGGAAAGTAAAGGACAATCCAGCCTCCCCAAGGCCTTGTTCTAGCATTACCTTTCTTTCCAATTCTGCAGTGATGAAAAAAACCCTTCCCACTGCACAAAGGATCACCCCTCATCGCTTCACAAGCATATCCTCCAGCAGAGGTGACTGGGTAAGAAGCCACCCCTTCCAAGTTATGCCAGTACAACTGTCTGTGTGGCTGTGCCATCAGCAGCATTGAAGAACAACCAAGGTTAAAAATAACCACTTTTCCTGAGTTATTTTTAACTTTGAGAAATTTCCTTATCAGGTTCACTGGCAACCCAAACGCTTGCAATGAAGAGGTATTGCAGAGGCAGTAGCTTCTTCAGTTCATAGTTGTGTCAAAATAATTGTTTATAAAACACATCCCTCGCTTTCTACAGTCCCAGGAAGGGAGAAACATCTGCCTTCTTGGCCTTTCTTGCCTGAATTCTCATCAGACAACCTAGGCTGGAATAAGAAATTCAGGCTGCTTTATGAACTGGTTTTGTGAAGTGTTTCATAGAGAGCAGCAATGCAGATGATCTTCCTTTTTTCCCCCCGCTCTCCCCTCCCAAAAAAACTTTAGCTGAACCACTAATCTCCTGCCTGCTTGTTCCCCAGTCTCCTCCTCTACCTCCTTTCACGTGCCCTCCACTATCTCATTCTTATTTGCGTTCATATACATGTTCTTTCTTCTCATCTAGCTGAATCATTAGCTAAATCTTAAGTGAGAACACACATATCAAAACTTCAAGCAAAAAACTGAACACAAAATTAATGGACCATCACACAAATTAAGTTACATCCCTTTTCTACACTCAACACTATTCCCTTCTAACATAGCCTGGAAGTAGCTCGGGGCAGGAACTGTACACAACTGCGCACTGAGTTTACCACCACACAACCCAGTTCAGATTTGTCCTTCAGGCAATACCAACATTTAAAAACGTATTAAGGAAAGGTCTTTAGAAAGGAGACTCCCAAGGCACCAGTATGTGCCTGCTCCCTGTAAGGGCTGGAATAAAGGGGTGCCCTGCAAGGACAAGTATATATTCACACTCCCTACATCATTGCCGTCTCCTGGAACAACCTGGGAGGAGCCAAAGCTGCTCCCTGGCCTCAGTCATCTGAGCTCAGGATTTCCTGGATCTTGTAACAGCATGAAAGTCCTGCTCGGGCCTGCAGTCACACAAGAACCTAATACTGAAAAGGCTTCTTAGGTCATCAAATGCAGTATTCTCTCAAATGATGATAAACAAATCATACACATTGACCACTGACACATTCACTAGGATACCTATTCCACACAGCATCCCTGAAATGTTCATCTACATAATACTATTCTTAAAAAAAAAAAAAAAACACAAAACCCACAAAAAAACCCTCAAAACAAAAAAATAAACAAAAAACCCAACAACAACAAAAAGCAACACCCCCCCCCAACTTAAATTCAGTGTTGTAAAGGAAACCCAAGCGTGAAATAGCAACAAATTAAGATTTCTGTATCCAGAAGCTATAACAAGGCACTCCAAATGAGTTATGGGAACGGTTCCATACATTTAAGTTAACTTTTAAGACCAAGTGTTAATATTTGTCTTGATAAATCAATATCACTTGTTATTTGCAGGATGAACTGGAAGATATACATACATGTAAGAGTGTATTTTTGTAACTGTTAGGAACAACCTTCCTACAAATTAAGAAAACTTTCAGATGATTCACCAGATATTTATTTTAATTACCTCCCTCTTCCACCTACTACATAAGCCTCACTAATGGCAAAACTGGAAGGTTATGGAAAGAAATAGGAACTTGTCGCATACAGAGCTCAAGTCTTTTTAGCCAATATATTGCTTCTATTTCTCATTCAACAAACCTATCTATTATAAGCTCTAGTTCTGGCTAGCTTCACTTTATTCCAAGTACCGACATGAAACCAAGCCAAGTTGTTTTCAGATATCTAGCACATATTCATCACTTAAAAAAAAATCCACTGCAGTAATTGTATGCTTATCCTCGGAACAAGTTAGTTTGCTTTTTAAACAAGATAGTGAACACAAACATATGATGTATACTATACAACTGGATGGAGCACAAGGAAGAAACACCACTTACAGACACAATCTTAAAAATAAAAGGACTGTGTCAGCACATCTCTAACAAAAAGCCCACAGATCACATACAGACATCTGCGCACACATGTAAAAGACAATAAACCGAGGACATTTTATTTCTACTTTTTCACAACAAGAATTAAAAGTTTAAGAATACTGTCATCTCTTCATATAGCATTAACCTTAAACACTTTATTGGTCAGTAGTAGTAATTTTCTGTCTCTCTTACTGTATACTTCCACTGAAACATTTATCAGCATTGTTTACTGCTTAGAGAAAAAACAGTTACAGTTTGTGGGGCAAACATAAAAACAAAGGTTTATTGCATTTAGGTTTGTATCTGCTTACTCATATTTATTTCCTCAAAGTGATACAGCATTCAAGGGCACTTTTGTTTGCTTGTTTTGATGAAGAAGCAGAAGAGGAGAAGAAAAAGCAAGGGATTAATCTAACAAGATTAATGACTTTGCAGAAAGTTTAGAAAGTGAAACGTCAGTTCTGAGCACCAAGAAAGTTTGTGTGGCTTTGACAGACACACGTTATTGTATTTCTTTAATGAATACCGTAACTGTTTAATTCTGAAACCGCACCTTAAGTAAAGCCCACAGCTAGGCAGTAAAACCACATGCAGTCAAACAGCGTACTGTTTACATATCATAAAAAAGCCAGTCTGTTTTTAAATATTGATTCTCATAAGCAACATGGCAAGATCAAGCTTTTCAAGCATACATGAATAAGGATTTCAACACTACTTTAGAAGCACTGAACAGTGCTTTCACTTCTGTAATAACCACCTTTCACAGGGTAAAACAGCCTTCCATAAAATAGAAAAAGCATGTGGAGCAGCAAAGTAATTCAAGCGAAGTGAGTGTTTCACAAAGGACAACTGAAAAAGCAACAAGCTGAATTTTTTTTTAACAGCCTTTTAAGCATCAGATAGATACCAGTTACGATGATGCTTGCTCTGGAACTGAAAAAGCAAATCCCTGTCCAAAATAACCACAACATTAAGTCACCGACATTTCTATTTCATTTTTGCCCTAAAAAAGTCAGATGCAAGATAATAACAGTGGTTTTCATAGGACAGAATACATCAAACTTGCCAACACTACAGACACTGCCAAAATCGAAGCCCTAAAGCAGATGCTGTCAAGCGGAACAGGAAGCCGGTATTCCTGGGGAAGAGGAAAGCGAAAGGGAAGGAGGATCGGAGAAGCGAAGTCAAAGCACAGGCTCGGCTGTCCCCCGCACAGGCTCTGAGCAAATCCTGGTAACGAGGCCCCCTTACAGCGGGAGGGCGAAAAGGCCCGGGGGAGAGGAAACACCGGGGACCACGGACGAACCGAGGTAGCAAGGGGAGGACCGGGGAGGACTCGCAGAGAAGGGGAGAGGGGTGGGACACAGCCACCGGGG